CAAGTGTCCATTGGATTTGTATATTTTGCATTCATTATCATCCTTGTAAGACTTGGGCAAACCAAGTATGATCCCAAGGAGATCATATGGGTCTGGCATAATGCAGTAAGCAAGGGTATTTTTACCAGATTTTTTTTAAATTCTTGGGCAACATACATTTAGCTTAATCTATCAGTTAATATTGCTTTATAATTCTATGGATCCTTTACAGTGTTGTGTTATACTCAGATGACCGTCAACTTGTAATTCATTCGCTAGACCAGGATATAACTGGGAAAAAAGACTCCTTTTATGTATGAGAGAGAGAGAGAGAGAGAGAGAGAGAGAGAGAGAGAGAGGGTCCTCGAGGTGAACCAAGTTTGTACTAATTACATGCAAAAAATTAAATTTTATTAAAAGAATTCTTGATTTTTTTCATGATATAAATCACTTTGTTGTGCTTAACTCTGCTTAGATTATTATTTTAGATCCAATGTTACTGACCACCAATTCCAAGCAGCTAGAAGTGAGGAACAATGGCAAACGTATAAGAAATTCTGGTGCCAATTTTTGGGATGGTGGACTTCATAACTTAAACGGTATAGCGAGTTCTGTTCCTCTTCGGTTTTTCTCTCTGATGGATATAGAGATCCAGATATATTACAAGATACTAGAGAAAATGAATGTCGGTGACACAGTATTACAAATCGGGTTCATACCAACACAGTTCATTGATAAAGACGAATTAATACAAGTCGAGAAAGGTTTGGTCATATCAGTCTTGGTGTGTGAAGATAATGAAATTTGTTTGGCGATCATCAATTTTGGAGTAACAATTAGAACAATACATTTGTCGGATAACAGAAGAGGAAGCGAATTTGTTGGCAGATTAACATTACGAAAATTACAGCAAAATATTTCCGCTTACTTGAAAATATCACAGACATCAAAATTGAAACACATTGACAATTCTGGGGAACAGGCAACATTTCAGACTACAGACATGCCCGATACACCGGCCCCAGATGGCGTATACATACATACATTTGAAAAAATCAACAATATGCAAGAAGATTTGTGGCCGGTTTTTGTGTTGAGCAAAAAGAGAGATGTTATTGCCAGTCTTGGTTCACATCTCTTTTATGAGCCTTCATGCAACAAACATATATTCATATTCAAGGAAAAGTATTCTATATCCAATAAAAAACTAACCGGATTTGATAAATGCAAGCAGAAACCTAGAACTTCAGACCCCAAAGAAATTGATCAGCATTTTCACTTTGCTCACACAACTAGTACGTTGTACAGTTACAATCCATTCCGATTCCGTGTAAAAAGCTATAATTTTTCTCTTAGCATTGAATTTGCCAAAAGTTTAAGGTATGAACGTTCTACAACGGGGGTTATAGTTTTCCTAATTCTTCTGAGACCACGTGATCCATATGCAGAAAACTTTGCTGTTTATGGTGAAATGCATGATCACCACATGGAAGTTATTTACGAGAACAATAATGATACGCTTAGACGGGATAATATGTATTTTAAAAATGACTTTTCTATCAAAATGCTTTACTTTTCTTTCGAGGTTAATTATCATTTTAATACATTAAAGCTTGATATGTGTAATAAGAACAGCAGAAAATGCAGACCACATCTGTTTGAAAACATTGTTTTCTATGAAACCCCAGTTGTTATACTTGGATTGTCAGAAAAAGCTATTATAGAGATGAAGTTAGATTGAATAAAGAGGATATATCAAAAAGATTATCTGATACAACTTTTATTAGGTCTTTCTGGAATGTGTTTAATTGCTTTTTTAATCCAGTATAAAAATTGTCAAATTTTGTAGATATTATAAGCTAAAATCAAACAATTGAAGCAATCTATTTATTGTAACCACAACATGAGAGATCTGAGCTGTTTACGCCTTAAGTAGGGTAAACACACACACACACACACACACACACGCGCGCAAAACTAAGCAAATTAGAAAGTCTATGAAGGGTCTTTTGTATTAAGTAATGTTGATTTTCATACACTGATAGTGAATTTTTAGCTACAGCCCAAATAGCTTTTATATCTGTTTCTCGTTGTAATAATATGTGTAATCTTTCTAAATTATTTCAAAATACTTAGTTCGAAATTATTTTAATGGATATTCACGCTTCCTTTGTTTGATATTCATGGATAAAAGAACATTGTGGCACACTGTCTTGTTTCATGCAAAATGAATATGTGTAAATGCTCTCAAGAAATCTTGAATAAAATCCTACACATTACTGTGTAAATATATAATTCCACAGGACTTGCAAACTATAATTCTATGTCATTTATCATCTGTGCCAGTTTGCATGCATCTGCTTTATATTCAAAAAGAGAAGTGTATCTAGGTTTGGTTACCTGTCATTGGATAAATGGTGGTGACATCCGGGTCATATTTGTTGCAGTAGTTGTGATCACAACATCCGCCATCAAATGATATAGACCTTTTGGACTGTACACTACCGTAAAGACTCATACAGATCTAATAAAGGATAAGGAAGGTTATAAAAGCCTTTTGGTTTCTTTTTGTATAAACAAAGAACGATGCAGCAGTTTTATAATCAAAGCAATTAATAAGTTTTGCTTCAGAAAGCTCTGGGTACAAATAAGAAAGAATGTATCATGCAGCGGAATTTTATTTGTGAAAATCAAAGACGAGCTGGCTTGTGCTGCATGTTTCTAGAAAATAATCATCCAAATGAAGAAAACTGGAACACTGCTAAATCGTATACTTTCATGTGCCCCAGAGTATGCTATAACTCAGTATCAATACTATAAAACTTTATCATAGTATTTTTAGGACAAACAATCACAATTCTAATTTCTAGTATGTTTTGATTTCTTTTAAGAGTGCATTATTGCGATCTTTCAAAAGTACCTTTAAAGAAAAGAAAAAGTAATAAAAAGTTACTCTCACTTTTGTCGACACATCCTAACCTGAATTTTTTCCTCCAGGGATTCAGTAAAAGTTCGAGTTACAATACAGACCTATAAAAAGTATAATTCAGTAAATGATATACCTTAAAATTGTCTCTTGTTTTATTACTACGTTCAGTTTATCAAATCTGAGAGTTACCTTGTTGTTATTATCATATGATTTAATTTTAGAGTGGTTGAAGAACGAGATGAAATCGCAATATCCACTTAGAAACTATACCTCACTTGCTACCCTTGTTTGTTTTGTTAATTACCTGGTCTGCTTCACATACAGTGGTATTGTGACAGTCTTCTGGTCTGTCGACAGCGTCACGTTTGTAGCATTTTCTTCCGAAACCGGTAAATATCAAAACGCACTTAAACTTCACTTTAAGAATTTGAAGGCATTATGAATTTTTAACTTGAAAATTGAATTCAAGTGTTTACATTTTTTCGGTCTGAGATCCCGAATATTTTTATGACCAAATTTGATTTTGCCATACCCTGAGCTGTTTTATTCTAAAAAAGTATAACATATATACTTACGGCACTTGTTACAAAAGCCTGAACATAATTCATTAGCCACGCAGTCATGTGAGCACATTTCTGGCTGTAGTAATGAACAATCCGTAAAGAAATTGTCCAAGCAACTCGAAGGTGCTGCCTCTAATTGGATAAAACTGCTGTACGCTACTGCAATGGTACGCACAACATCAATTGTGTATTTAGGTAGACTTAGATACCAGGTTCATATTAGAATTTAAATTTTTAAATGAAGTAAAATAAAAAATATTTTTCCGTGTTTTTAACGCAAACATTTCTCTCTCTCTCTCTCTCTCTCTCTAAAATCTCCCCTTTCCCGACACCGAAACGTCTGAATTTACAGAATTTGCTCATGTTTGGAATTTTATCACACCAATAGTATTTCTGGGAAATGAATGTCAAATGTTCTATAACATACATAAGTTTTATCTTTCAAGCGTAACATTCTGGTATACTCCACGAAATGCACGATAAGTATAATGTGCTATATTTGAAAGTCTTGTATAGACAAAATTTATTTGTACATGTATAATCACTTATTACTCAGTAAATGGATCGCCATTTCTGTTTTCAGAGAGCAATATTAGTTTATTTGTTTAACGAATTAAGTTATTTCATGATAGATGTGACTAGTTTTTTTTTGTCAATGTCTACCTGTTGCAAATGATAGCGAGGCTAAACGGGAAATAGCTGTAAGTTTTATATAAGTGCAAAAAGTTCAAGAAACACAGGCCTAGCCCAATAACAAACCGCTAACCAATGTTTCTTGTGGCATTAAGATATTTTGCAAAGAAAACCTTGATATAATCACATAAAGGAATTGTCATTCTCGATTTATTCTCTGAAATAAATATTTTGTATAAGTTATATTTAATTTTCGGATGACTCTCTTCTTATATGGCAAAAAAATATTAAAAATTTTGTATGCACTTTTTCTTAAATCTTCTCAGGTAACACATGTATTCACACTTCGAGCTTCGGTTTTATAAACATATTGATGGACATTTTGTACTTAACTCTCCTTTTCAAACTCGTATTAATCAGAATGTGTTTGAAATGAAATACTTAATAAAAAAAATGTCACCAATTCTTGACTTATCATGGTGATTACCAATCGATGGTTTGAAAGATTTTACTACGTTACTAAACGTAAATAAGCTCCATTATTATAAGCTACTAATTGAAAAAAAAAAATTAAAAATAGAAAAAGAAAAGTTTCAATATCCTGAAAACTTGAAATTACCCCCCAAAAAATCATCTCAGAAAATGGCTGTAAAAAGTTTGGACGGGTGCATTTCAAATGGGTCGGTAGGCAACTGCAAACAAACATTTTTTTTTAATGTTAGGCCCAATTCATCTTGATATCTTGTCTTGTAACTTTCCACCTCCCTCTTATTTGAAATCTTTGGTTCCGCCTTTGTCCAAATGTATTCACATTTTGATGTGAATATGATAAAGTTAACGTTAAGTACTTGTAAACCGAGACGACATATCTCTACTGTTTTAGATCATCTGATAAGAATATTTGCAATGGCGTCTTATGGTCTGTCGCTGCTGGTAACATGGATTGGTATGCAATTTTTTTGTTTGGTGAAATCTTTCAAACCATCGATTGGTAATCACCATGATAAGTCAAGAATTGGTAACATTTTTTATTAAGTATTTCATTTCAAACACATTCTGAATAATAATGAGTTTGAAAAGGAGAGTTAAGTACAAAATATCCATTAATATATTTATAAAACCGAAGCTCGAAGTGTGAATATATGTGTTACCTGAGAAGATTTAAGAAAAAGTGCATACAAAATTTTTAATATTTTTTTGGCCATATAAGAAGAGAGTCATCCGAAAATTTAATATAACTTATATAAAATATTTTTTTTCTGAGAATAAATCGAGAATGACAATTCCTTTGTGTGATTATATCAAGGTTTTCTTAGCAAAATATCCTAATGCCACAAGAAACATTGGTTAGCGGTTTGTTATTGGGCTAGGCCTGTGTTATCGAATTTGACCTTTTTGCACTTATATAAAACTTACAGCTATTTCCCGTTTACTCTTGCTATTATTTGCAACAGGTAGATATTGACCAAAAATATCATATCTTTCATGAAATAATTTAATTAATTCGTTAAACAAATAAATTAATATTGCTCTCTGAAAACAGAAATGGCTATCCATTTACTGAGTAATAAGTGATTATACATGTACAAATAAATTTTGTCTATACAAGACTTTCAAATATAGCACATTATACTTATCGTGCATTTCGTGGAGTATACCAGAATGTTACGCTTGAAAGATAAAACTTATGTATGTTATAGAACATTTGACATTCATTTCCCAGAAATACTATTGGTGTGATAAAATTCCAAACATCAGCAAATTCTGTAAATTCAGACATTTTGGTGTCGGGAAAAAGGGAGATTTGAGAGAGAGAGAGAGAGAGAGAGAGAGAGAGAGAGAAATGTTTGCGTCAAAAAACACGGAAAAATATTTTTATTTTACTTCATTTAAAAATTTAAATTCTAATACGAACCTGGTGTCTAAGTCTACCTAAATACACAATTGATGTTGTGCGTACCATTGCAGTAGCGTACAGCAGTTTTATCCAATTAGAGGCAGCACCTTCGAGTTGCTTGGACAATTTCTTTATGGACTGTTCATTACTACAACCAGAAATGTGCTCACATGACTGCGTGGCTAATGAATTATGTCCAGGCTTTTGTAACAAGTGCCGTAAGTATACAGGCTATACTTTTTTAGAATAAAAAATCTCAGGGTATGGCAAAATCAAATTTGGTCATGAAAATATTCGGGATCTCAGACCGAAAAATTCAATTTTCAAGTTAAAAATTCAGAATGCCTTCAAGTTCTTAAAAGTGAAGTTTAAGTGCGTTTTGATATTTACCGGTTTCAGGAAGAAAATGCTACAAATGTGACGCCGTCGACAGACCAGAGGACTGTCACAATACCACTGTATGTGAAGCAGACCAGGTAATTAACAAAACAAGCAAGGGTAGCAAGTGACGTATAGTATCTAAGTGGATACTGCGATTTCATCTGGTTCTTCAACCACTATAAAATTAAATCAAATGATAACAAGAAAACATTGATGTAACCATCAATTGTCGCCCGGGAAATAAATAAAGTAAACAATGGAAATGAGTCTTGATCACCAAACCGCTTCGATATGTGTGAAAAAGGCATGCGTCTAAATGATGGAGACGATAGTCGAGAATATTTTGAAAACCTATAGTCGGATGAAAATCAAACAAAAACGATATCCTTTTAAACTTTATCAATTCCTCAAGTAAATGTTGGCTGCATAAAATATAAATTGAAACCAGACACATGCATCACCTATTTTCAAAAATGTCTATCACTTTAAGAATATAAAACACGAACTGTGTAAAGTACGTTTTTATGCGATAAGTAAAATTCGATGTTCTAAAAAAAGGGACTTGTCGTTTTTTCGATAGTAAATGATAAGCAACTTTATATATTAAATATGAAAAACATATATATTTTTATAGATTCACTTTATGGAAGTAAATATATTGTGTATCTCGTAATTTATAAAGGGAAAGAACATTCTGATTAACAATCTTTTTAATGTTTAGAAAACCTTTAATTCTGAATAACTTCTCCCACCTCAATCCCCAACACTTAAACTTATATGTATAGAGCAGCCCGGTCCTCCGGGCTGCAATAACAGCAATGTAACTCAGAGATTTGATAAACTGAACCTAGTAATAAAACAAGAGACAATTTTAAGGTATATCATTCACTGAATTATACTTTCTGTAGGTCTGTATTGTAACTCAAACTTTTACTGAATCCCTGGAGGAAAAATTCAGGTTAGGATGTGTCGACAAAAGTGTGAGTAACTTTTTATTACTTTTACGACTTCTTTTCTTTAAAGGTGCTTTTGAAAGATTGCAAGAATGATTTACCGCTTTGCACTCTTTAAAAAAATCAAAACATACTAGAAATTAAAAATTGTGATTGTTTGTCCTAAAGATACTAAGATAAAGTTTTATAGTATTGATACCGAGTTATAGCATCCACTGTGGCACATGAAAGTATACGATTTAACAGTGTTCCAGTTATCCTCTTTTGGATGATATTTTTTTTCCAGAAATAGCACAAGCCAGCTCTTCTTTGTTCACAAATAAAATTCTGCAGATACTTATTTGCGCCCAGAGCTTTCTGAAGCAGAACTTACCGGTATTAATTGCTGCATCGTTCTTTGTTTATACAAAAAGAAGCCAAAAGTCTCTTATAACCTTCCTTATCCTTTATTAGATCTGTATGAGTCTTTACGGTAGTGTACAGTCCAAAAGGTCTATATCATTTGATGGCGGATGTTGTGATCACAACTACTGCAACAAACATGACCCGGATGTCACCACCATTTATCCAATGACAGGTAACCAAATCTAAGATACATTTCCCTTTTTGAATAATAAAAAGCAGATGCATGCAAAATGGCATAGATGATAGATGACATAGATTTATAGTTTGCAAGTCCTGTGGAATTATATATTTACACAGTAATGTGTAGGATTTTTATCAAGAATTCTTGAGAGCATTTACACATATTCATTTTGCAAGAAACAAGACCCTGTGTCACAGTGTTCTTTTATCCATGAATATCAAACAAATGAACCGTGAATATCCATTAAAAATAATTTTTGAACTAAGTATTGTGAAATAATTTAGAAAGATTACATATATTATTATGACGAGAAAGAGATATAAAAGCCATTTGGGCTGTAGCTAAAAATTCACTATCAGTGTATGAAAATCAACACTACTGAATACAAAAGACCCTTCATAGACTTTCTAATTTGCTTAGTTTTATGTTTGTGATTGTATGTGTGTATTATTTGTGTGTTTTTGTATTTTGCTTTTTGTTTCGTTAAACGTTGATTATTTCTGATGACCAGAAAGGGTAACCACGCCTGCAGCATCACCTTTAGAACTCTGTCAAGATATTGATACCAAGTTCTGCGCCCATGGCGGGAGAAAGGAATGTCATATGTCATGTTTTGAAAAGATGTGTCCTGTCACGTGTGGGAAATGCTGTAAGATAATTTGATGTAAAATCTGTGGTGCCATCTTTCTGCTCTCTTAACTTAATTTAATTAACTAATAATTTATCTATAGTTATTATTCTACAGATTAAGTCGACATGCAAGATAGTTATGTTGACATGCAACATAACAGTATTGACAATGAAGAAAAATTTGATCTGACAAGAATTAGGAAGCATTTCATGTGGCATCCAACATGCGACATGTTAGCTGCAGAGCTGTAACGTTGTGGTTTTATATTTTAGTCTTATGGTCAAAATAAAATGTAAAACCATAACGCTACAGTTCTGCAGCTAGCGACATGTAATTAACTTAATTGTGTTCATATGCAATTTATTTATTTTGACAAACAACTAATTTATGGTGACATGCAACTTATTAATGTTGCCATGCAACTTAATGACGTTGCAATGTAATTTACTCATATTGACATGCACCTTAGTTATGTCCTTTAAAAAACTATTGACATTTCGGAAGCTGCCTTAAATAAGTTGCTTTAGATTACCACATTAAATAGGCTCACGTCGACATAAAAAGTTGCAAATAGACAAAGACAATTTGCGTCTGATTCTCTCAGTGGGTTATATATGATGCTTTTGGGAAAAAAATTCCTAATTTTATCCGATCACATTACCAGACGGAATTATGTTGCATATTGACACATTTATCTTGCTTGTGGACATACTAATAAGCTTTAAAGAAGTTGCGCATAGAGCAATAAATTTGCAACAATAAGAATGAAATATTTACATGTATATAATTTCCCTGCATGATGAAACGAAAGTCTGAAAAAGTATGGATAAGCAGAGAATAGACTCATTGACAGACAGACAGACAGAGGAAACCTTTATTTCCTAGATTAACTTTGTTCTAAAAGCAAAGATTTAAACCGTCCAATACACTCTCTCCGATAATTTGTTTGCATGCTCAAATGAACGCTTCTTTTCTCCAAAAAGGTCAAATATGTGGTTTTTAAAAATCTTTTGTAGCTCCCCAAAGTTTACGTAAGTAATGTTATTTCTTTTACAACTCTTCAAAATGAGAATATCCTTTTCCTTAAAATCGGGTCTTTGCTGAAGTATATGAATGTTGTGCTTAATCACAAACAGTGGACTGCCGTAGTTGCTCTGTGGTTGACAACACAGAAGATTGTAACATCACCAAAACGTGTAATCAATCCGAGGTGAGAAACAGGTTTACTATTTATAATCTTTTCACCAATCGCATCAATGATTTATATTCTCTCTTTCCAGAATTTGAGTGCAAAGTGGGGTGTGTAAGGTGATAAATAAACAAATATTTATTACTTACAATCTATTTATCAATAGCTTCAACGATTTAGATTCTCCCTCGTCAGAGTCTTGAGACAATGGGGGTCCGTAAGGCACTAAAATATATAGAATGTGAATGTAGTTATCAAATATAAGGTATGAAGGATTATCTTGATTTGGTACTCTGGAAGTAATTAAGTTTCATAAATGAAAGTAAGCTACAAAACTGAGTGGGTTTTATACACGATCTTCTTCGAACATATCTTTATGAGGTTGATAAGAGAATTGTTAAGTTTAAAATCGTTCAATAAAATATTTGAAACTTTTTCTGCTAATTAATACTTTTCCCCTCCAAATTTAATCGTTGAAGCATACTAGGATAAGTTGACGTAAATTTAAAGCTTCCAGTTCGTCTAAGATTTGAAGGTTAGGCTTCAAGGTCAATTTGATACCAGTGTTTCTTATAGCCATAACTTTACAGTGTGTGCGCATTTTTGAACAACTCCACCTAATGTACTCATTTTGCTTCGCTATCAGATTTTGTAATGTGTGTTCATTGAAAACCTACCACTGTAAGTGTTGATTATAGTTTGGGGATTTCTACGAGATGAAATCCTTCCCTTGATGTTGGATATCCCAATTCCATCAGTTTGGCACCTCGACCATCTTAGTTTTGGACGGTCTATCTTATCCTTACCAGATCCCCCGATCCATTTTAAGCGTTGGATAGTCTACCTTATGATCTCTATTAGAATCATATACTCTTAGCATTAAATAATCTCTGTGAGATCAGAGGTTTTTCACTATTTCTTAGGAGGTTAGGGCACCTCTCTTTATCTACCTTGACAAACTTAAACTGTTGTGCTAACCTTTGGACAGAAACAGAGAATTCAATTTGGGTTAAATTCATTTCAAAATTTATGCTTATTCGGTATTCTGAAAATTATAATACAATTTTGATCAAAGGTCAAATAACACTGTTTTGCAATGAGGCCATTATATTTTGAAAACACTAATTTTTTTATCTTCCTCAGGTGTGTATTGCAATTGAAACCAGAGATACACAAACGCATCGAAAGGTTAAACTAGGCTGTGTTAGTAAATCAGTGAGTACATTTTATAAATTTTTATTAATTAAATATTTATTATTATAACACTTTCTGAGATCCAATTTCTTAAAATGAACAGAGCATAATTTGAAATATTAACTCTTTATAAAGACTTTAAAAATTACATTTCATTATTTTTGCAGACTTGTGATCATTACAATTTCACTGTCAGAGAAACTCCAGACACTTCCAGAATCAGTCATGTAGACGGTTACTGTTGTAATACTACGAACTGTAACTCAAAGCCCCTGCCTAGTCCGGGTATTGTCATATATTTAGAGTATTGTTGATTTTAAAGAGATATTTGCCCTCTTATCATTTGACAACGGAATTTTAGGAATTGTTTACTGATTTTAGTTTGGGACTATTATACTAGTTTTTTTTATCTTCTTCATCCACGGCGATCTTTGATTATGCACAATTTCAAGAATTTTGTCTCGTTAAGTTAATTTTGTCTTGAAGAAATACCGTTTAAATCATTTTAAGTATGGACACATTTTCCATAGAAAGGCCATTTGTTAAGATACCAAATCTGACTCTTCAAACAGCATTGCAGAAGCTTTTATACTCTCAATGGGGTAATAATTCTAATGTAATTACCACGTTATTTGGTTGGCTAAAACAATATCATCCTGTTTTGGTCTACGTTGCACCTTGTCAATAAATTCTGAAAGTCCTGAAGTAGCATTACTTTAGATTTACTGAACTACAACTTCTACAAGTATATGTCCGATTCCTGCTTTGGAATGATTGTATGCTCATATACCATTTTAGCAAAAATACATTTTAATGGTCTCATAGAGTTTTGTTCCACGATGGAGCAGCTGGAATATTGTTGGAATACTGAGCTATCGCCTGAACATGATTTAATTATTAATGGTTATCGTTTCAAGACGGTTTTGTTACGTAAAAAGTAATACAGATAAATCATTTCGCAATTAGAAAATGAATAGAAAATCCTATGTTTTTGCCAGTAAAGATTGGTTTTGCAAATCACTTTTTTGTCCGGAACACTGAGTGATCGGGATATATAAGCCCTTTGTCCGTTTTGCAACATTTGTAATATCTTTATTTTATCGTATCATCAGGTGTTGAGTTGAATTCGATGTGCTGCTGCATGTATGGTGTCGAGATTGTGCAAAGAGTCTGATTTGTTCTTTATGCTAACCAATTATGGTCTTAAATTTGGATGATTTCGTAAACTGTTCTTGCGTGTTTGAAGTTACACTGATGTATTAAACTGGATTTTGGTCAATTATTAAAATAGATTTTACACACTATTGATTAAATTAGAGTTTCTACCTTTCTTGCCTAGATATATTGGGACTACAATGTGTTTTATATTTTTTAATGTGACTGCTGTATTTTTTTATTTCCAGAATCTACGACTATAGCAACTACTAGTACTACCACCCCTAGCCCAGAACCAAATCCACGTAAGCCTATCTAACGTGTCCTTGACTATTTCTAAATACATCTGTACAGATTGAATTAAATGTATCTTTCTCTACAAACTCTATTCCATCTAAAGGGTGTCCACATCAGATCCATGGATGCCCACCTCACTTTGATAAGATTCTGAATTCCTGCTATCAATTTTACCACACAAAAGACACTCATGATCATGCAAATGTACGTATAACATTACACAAAAATTCTATTGAAAAAGATATTTAAGAGTGTATAATTATCAGCATAACAACACAATAGGTATGCTTATAAATATACTTCGGGATCTCAGTATAAAACAGTACAAGAAAATCGTTTTATTTCTATACTTTTATCGTAAAAATATCTTTAACTGAAAATACCAAATGCTTTTTTATAAACTGTGTATTTTAGTTCACCTGAGTCACTCGGGTGACCTATTGCGATTGATCTTTGTCTGTCGCCGTGCGTCGTCCGTTAACAATTGAATATTTTTAACTTCTCCTAAAATAAAACTTGTCCAACTGTCTTCAAAGTTGATATGAAACATGTTAGGTATCAGGTGAACAAAAATTGTGATTTTTTTAATCATAATACCCCTGAGACCCAAAAGTGCTGTACAAAAAACTGCTAAAAATAACCAAACAAAAAAAAATCGTCTTCTCTACTCCTGCCCATTTGAACATAAGCTGATTGCAAGGTTAGAAAGAGCATGGGGCCCTCTACAAAAAGGGGGAGGGGAAACAGAGAGAGAGAGAAAAAAAGGGGTCTCCATTCAGAGTTCAAGCGCTCTGGATTAGTTGGTCATATATTGAAAATACATTACACTTTGGAAAATCTTTTCTACTGATGGACATTTGGCAGGTAAACTGCTAGTATTTCCTTGATTATAGTTATAATAAAATTTAGCATTCTGCCAAAATGTTAAAAATCATGGCCCCTAGGCACATGGTTAAGGCTACAGGATAGGGCTACGTTGGTCATACACTGAAGATACAGTATAGTATACCTTTGAAAACTTTCTTCTCTACGCATAAAAATCTTACAGGCAAACTGTTCGCATGAATGCAACAAGTATACTTAACCCTTTACCAAGTGTTAAAATTTATGGCTCCTGGGCCAAGGTTCAAGCCCTTAGATGGGCTTAAGACAACATTCAATGAAAAAACAATACATCTTTAAAAAATCTTTACTCATGCACATCTGACAAGCAAACTTTTATCATGATTATAATAAACACTTAACTCTCTACCTAAACTGTGAAATTTATGCCCCCCTCCCAAGCACAGAGTTTAAGCCCCAGGACGGAGCTTAGCTGATCATATATTGAAAATACAGCATACATTTGAAAATCTTCATATTTTACTAATGGATATCAAGCAAGCAAATTTTTGACATGATTGTGAGAAGGCAGCTAGCCCTCTACAAAAATTGAAATTTTTGTCCTCCAGGTTCAGAACTTAGTCCAGAGTTGCAGTTTGGGATGTGGCGAAGGCCGCCATAGTTTAGGAATTCCATGATAACTTAGATGACCGACACGGCCCAATTGCTTGTCTTGCTTTTCAATGACATGGTCCTTCAGATGCATGATTTTTTTTTGTTGGCAAATCTCTGACCAAAAGCCGACGCTCTTAATGATTTATCTTTATTTTCACGATAAATATGAACATTTATATAAGGAGATATTTCATGGACTGTATACAAGATTATTTTCGCTATGTGTTATTTTCGTCATAAAAGACTTGCAAACAAGTTTGCCCCATTTAAAAAGTTGTGTTGAAGAGTTATTGCAGTCTTTCTTGAATTCGCCCGTTTTAAAGTCGCACATTTCCGATGAAGGTTAAAGATGCGAATATAAAACGGGGGCGAGGTTTTCCCTTTTTACAGTACTGTAGATCACTAAATTTTCGCGACACTTTCTTTTCGCGAGATAGTCATTGACTCTTTATTAGCGACACAGAATATTCACGAATTGTGGTTATTGCTCTATATAATCTTTAGGAATACTAATAAACGCGAGAATGACATTTTCGTGAGCACACTGTCTCGCGTTATTACGCGAAAATAAAGTTCTCGCGATAAAAAGTGATTTACAGTATGATATACGTACCAGTTCCTATTCAGTTCCAATACATTTCATTTACAACGTATGTAAATACCGCTTTATCATCTTGAATCGATTCATGTTAAATATCTATCATTTTACACGAGGTTTTCGTAGTTGTACATAGTTTTTTTATCTTGAATTCCCAGCGCTATTGTCATGGTAGTTGCACTAGACCTGTCATCATCAGTAGCACGGACGAGGCACGAGCTATTACTCAGCACATCCTCCAAAGTAAGTATAATTCTGAAAAAAAAGAGAATAATTGCGGCTACAAGTTTCGCTTGAATAGGGATATCCAATGGCTAAAGGAAGAAAATGAAAAAATTTGGAGTTAAAGGAGAGGAAATAGGTATAGGCGGAAGTGAAAATTTGTAATAGAAAAAAATGATTGGTTAAATAGAGGATGGACTTAGAGAGAGAGAGAGAGGGGGGGGGGTGTTATTCACATTCCTCGTGACGTCCATTTCATGACGACGGCAGTCTATACTTCAGTCGTGTAGCGATCTACGTACACGGATCAAAGGATTTGATTGTACTTAGACTGTTCTTGTAGCAGGTACTTTTTTGTCGCTACTGTTCTCTTTTTGAGTTAAATATGACTTGTTGTAGATCACTTACCTGGGCCCTATTGGACAGATGGAATTCAACATGGCAGCCACTTGGTGTGGAAGTCTACCCAAATGGAAGTCATGAGTTCCCTCATTAACCCGCATATGCTTCAGTACAATCACACGAAGCAGTGTCTGCAGTTTGGGAAGGAAACTCATGATCAATTTAGTCCTAACGGACATTTTTATTTGGACAGAAAACCATGTGGAGAAAATTTTTATACAATTTGTGAATATGCTCTTAAGTAAAGAATTCAATACTGTTTTTTTTCTTGCTTATGTAATTTAGTTTAAAAACAAGAGGCCGATTGGTCTCAGCACCCATGAGTCGTTTTGCACGTAAATGATGCTTAGACCAGTTGGCCTGTTGTTTTGCACCTATTAATATATCCTTTGGAACTCTTACTCAAGATTCTTTTCAAGCGAATTAATTTTAAATTATCTTTTGGAACTCTTACTCAAGCTTCTTTTCAAGTGAATTGATTTTAAATTGTGCACAATTTGAATGTACACAATTCTACTCCCAACATTTATAGGCCTAAATACATGTACTACAAATCGTGCATTTGAGTTTCTTCAAAGATGTAAAATATTCTCTCACATCTGCACGAGTGTTGATCCACAAAATAGATTTAAATTTGCATCAGAACATTGATTTGGAAGTTTGATGCTTGGATATTTCTGAGAATGTATCCTACGGAGCTTTATTTTCCTTTATTCCTGTGTAAGACTATCTTAACAAATATCCTGGTATTTGATTCTTTACTACCAGATGCATAGCAATGCTTGCATGTTTTATCGAACTGCTATATGGTGTATTACTGTAAAGGTCCTAAATTTGGCTGTGTATACTATTTTTTTTTAGTATCTTTTGAGTTTTCAGGAAAGCAGCTACCGATAAATTATGTAGCATCGCTAAATACTGTATGTGTACTTAAAAAAGCGGGCTTCATATTTTAGCGGCTTTGGCGCAAACAACGATGTGCTTATTCATGAATACTGCTAAGAAATCATTTATAAATACAATATATCTATAATTTTTTTTCTCTGTGATAACTCTTTGAAAGTAAGGTGAGCTGTTTTCTTGATAATTCAACCGGAATGTAAATTTCGCCAAGTGAAAAGTTAGGAGCCTTATATGCATGTCAATCTCGTGCGGTTGTGTTTGTGTCTGACGTCAGTGGGCGGGGACTTTTGAAATTTTAAAAAATCTGTGAGGTCTTGTGTATTTGAAATCTATTAGAAAGCGCTAATTCATGATTTCGCCAACAACTCTATACCCAGTGATTTCATTCATGGTACCCTTCTCTTTCTAAAGATAAAGTGCACAAATTGACAACTGAGAAATCTCCGAGACATCAGTTGTTTCGTCGTCCATTCTACAACATTGTCTTCGATTGTAAGGCTCATTATTTTAATTGTATTTTAGAGAAACTGGGATTTAATTCCACAAGTAATTCAACTTATACCCATAGCTCCCTTTCTAAGGAGAAATTTCTTCAAAATCATGTCAGTTCATAAAAATCCTTACAAAGATACATAGCGGGTTTCAGTAAATGTTCTACCAAGCTTCTTTCTGTACTCCTTACTAAAATATTAATAGCAGTGAAGAAGAAACTTCAGGAGTACTGTACAACAATATATTTGAGAAATGGTGTAAATCAGATGTGGATACATAAAAACTCCAGGAAACTATTTGAAAATTTGAAATCACGAAATTTTTACCAAAATCAATAACATAAAAACTTACGACTTTTCAACTTCAAATACAACAATTCCCCATAAATCTAAGTCCAGGCTTTTTGACATCATTGACAGCTGCTTTTTCAATAAAAATCGTCAGAGTAACCGATTATCAAATATCGACCGATTTGACATCCCTAATAAATTTACTTACCTTGTCATTAGGCATAGTCATTTACAAAATTATTTTGTTAAAAAACATTCTGATTGTACACACAACTACTCTGAAGTTGATATTTAAAAGGTGCTTGAGTTTCTGATTGACTATATCTATGTGGTTTTTGGAGACAAGGTCTTCCAACAATCTGTTAGAATTTCCATGGGTACCAATGGCGCCCCGTTATTAGCAAACCTAGTTTTGTATTCATATGAAGCAGAATTTATTCAAAATCTTATGCATGAGAAAAAGAAAACTCTTGCTGTGGCCTTCAACTCGACATTTATTATCAAATAACAATAGTTATTTCCATTCATATGTTGACACGATATATCCCAGTGAGCTTGAAATACAAGATATCACAGAGTCTGACACATCTGTTTCATATTTGGATATTTTATTAGAAAAAGACGTTTTAAAATGGTAATCTAACAACTAAGCTTTATGATAAACGTGATGACTTTAACTTTTCAATCGTCATTCCCTTACTTATGCAGCAATATACCCTCATCGCCTGCATATGGGGTTTATATCTCCCAGTTGATTCGATACACAAGAGCTTGCTCTACTATGAACAATTTCTAAAACGAGGTAAGTTACTGACAATCAGGTTGATGAAACAAGAAATTAAACTCATCATTTCGTAAGTTCAATGGTCGATACAATGACCTTGTCAGCAAATACAATCTATCATTAAGTCTAATGCTGACTGACGTTTTTCATACTAATTGTAAGGCCATTATTTACACAGTGAATTGTCGACGGATTTTTCCATTATTTCCCGATTATGACAAGGAGCACACGGCAGGTGTGACCGGTCGGCAGCAGATGCTCACTCCTCCATCATACCTGAGACCTGTTCAACAGAGCGAGCGCTCGCGAACAATTCTATTGGAGGGATAAGGAATTTTGGCGAGCGCTCGCCTCAGATCCCACCTCTGATGTTTTAGAGGTCCGTGTTTGCTCTGCTCCTAATTTGTATTGTTTGAATGGACTTTTAAGCTTGAATATTGTTCGTTATCTCCATATAAATATTTCATGCTACAAAAGCTATGAATATTTTCTCGAACCTCAGTTTCACACTGTTGATTCAATTCTTCCTAAATTTAAGGAGGCATATACACTTCGATTTCAACATGTGGATTTCAAAATTGTGTTAAATGCTGCTTTCCGATTAATAACTGAAAATTGTTCCTTCCCATGACCCTTGTCCCAATTTCCTCGGAAAAAATATTTCTTTGTCCAGTTCTAAGAACATCATTGATGTTCTTCAAGGATAAAAACGATACCGATTTATTTTTGAATAAGTATTTCCTCCTACACTTTACTAATTTTCTCCAAAATAGATTTTTGTTTTCTGTCGACTTTCATCAGGAACATCGACGACTTTTCTCCGGCTGACTTTTCTAGTTTCTAAATCATCCTTTACGGTTTTGGGATCAATGTCCGTATGCTGGTCATGAAAGTAATGCAGGGTGCACAGAGGAAGCTGTCATTAGAGGTGGAATACCATATCCAAGGTCACTTAAGTTCCTTACATTTACTGTAATGCCTGGCTTAAGGTCACTTAAGTTCCTACCTTTACTGTAACGCCTGGCTTAATTGCTGATTGAAGAGATATTTGCCTTTTGGTGGCTTTGAATGGATCTAAGCATCTGATCTTCTTGTAATTATCTGTCAGAAATTAATTTACAAAATCCACGGTGTCTTTTCTACCCTCCATAGGAAAAACTTTACTAGATAGACCAGATATAAACCAGTATTGTCTGTCGGACTTATAGGTCGATTGGATTGCCCACTGGCAGGCAAATCATCAAAATCTTTCTCTTTGTCTTTTTGTTTGTTTGATCGATACATTGCTCTGATAATTTCACTAAGCATGATAAGTTTATAATTAAATTATATACATATTTGTTGCAATACATGAGTTTTACAGAATCGGGGAGTCTCTCATTCTCTCTTAACTTTATAAAATCCCTATATTGGCAAAATTCGTGTTGCTAGTTGCAGTGAGTGGGGTATCTTAAAACGTTCCGACATATACCGGTATTCCTTTCTCGTTTCTAAAGAAATGGATGTGTTATTACATAACAATTAACAATTGATAAGAAAAAATATACCACTTCAATGCACATCATTGTATATCATTTCATTTCAAAACACCAACTAGCCCATGTTAAGCTCGATTTTTGGGTCACTTGAGTGACTCGGGTGACCTATTGCTTTTTTTTTTTTTATCATGCGTTGACATTTAAAATTTTTAGCTTTTTCTAAAACTGCAAGACCAATTTTGGCATACAGCATTTATGGATGAAGAAAAACAAAAAAAATATGAATAATATGGTGCCTGTCCCGCTTGGGCCTTAGGGGTTGCGTTAAAACCATCAAAATTTATGCAATTTTTAAAACTCTTTACCCTTGGACATCAAGCAGTCACACTGTTGGTATGATTGTGATTGGCATTGAGCACTCTATCAAAATCATGAAATTTCTGGCACCATAGTCAGGGGTTCTGATGTTACGATGGCCAGGGGTTTAGATCATATAGTGGAGATTTATAATTTTTCAAAAATCTCTCTCTCCTGCATATTTAGCAGCCAAACTAAGTGCATAGGTATGAAGAACAAGGATGCCTCTTCCAAAATTGTGAAATTCATGGTCCCAGAGTCAGGGGTTCTGGTGTTAGGTTGGGGCTCTATATATCATATAGTGATGATTCATTAATTCCTCACAAATCTTCTGTTCCTGGATATTAAGAAGACAAACTAAGTGCATAGATATATATGATCATATAGTGAAAATGCATTAATTCTTCACAAATCTACTCTGTTCCTGGGTTCAAACAGACAAACTAGGTACATGGTTGTGGTGAGTATGAGGAGTGCTTCTTCCAGAATGGTGAAATTCATGGCCCCTTGGTCAGGAGTTAGGGCGGGGATCTATTAATCATATTAATAGCGCAAATGCATTAATTTTTTTTTTAATTCTGTACCTGAAATATGTGGAGATAACGAACAGTATTCGAGCTCAAAAGTCCTTTAAACATTACAAAATAGGAGCAGAGCAAACACGGACCTCTAAGACATCAGAGGTGGGATCACGTGCTATGGAGGAGTGAGCATCCCCTGCCGACTGGTCACACCCTCCGTTTGCTCCTTGTCATGAACGGGAAATAACGGGAAAATCCGTTCAGTGTGTAAATAATCGCCTAACAATTAGTATGAATCAAAGTACTGTGAGTACTGAGAGACGGTGGCATGAATGATTTTGTTCGTTTAACGTCCCTCTCGAGAATTTTTCACTCATACTAAGACATCACCATTGCCATTGGTGGGCTGCAAATTTAGATCTACATTCAACACT